AGATAGATAGATAGATAGATAGATAGATAGATAGATAGATAGATAGATAGATAGATAGATAGATAGATGGATGTGAAAACTTGTAGGATTATACAAGCTTGCTCGTACTAAACAAACATGTTGAATTAAGAAGCAATACTTCATTTTCTGTGGTCACTGATTTTAGAAATATATTTATAGAATTAAAATTACATTTAACAGCGTCACCTACTAAATAAAATGTAAATATTTTGTGAAATTACTGTAATTTCCTTATGTTAAACATTTTCTAAAGGATATTTTTATAGTTTTTAAAAAATAATCATCCCTAAATGTTATCTTCCATCAGTAAATTCACGGTCTATTTCTGAAATTGTATTGATATACTGCTCAAAAAATGTAAGGGAACACTTTATTCTTACATCATTTTGTACGTCAGTGTGTGGAAAACAAAATGATGAACCCACTGGGGGTCACTTAAGCTTCATAACAAGACGGATTGATATCCCAGAAGTTTAGCTGAATTGATGTTGTGATGATTAAGTGTTCCCTTAACTTTTTGAGCAGTGTATTTTTCTGATTTGTTTTTTTTTTCTTCTTTAATCTGTAAAATCAAAAGGAAACATTCTAAAAAAATTACAGATTTTTCTCTTTTTTTTCAAACAGTGCAGTCACAAAGCTATAATAAGCAGCTCCAAACTGGGCCTTTCTAAAATATGCACGTAACCCGGGAACATTATGTAACCGAGACGCACATTCTAACTTGAACTCTGAGGTTTTTCTGCAGGCTGAACTTAAAGAACAGCATTTTTACGGAACATTTACCGTCCTGCGGCGTGTACGAGTGTAAGTGTTTGTGCCTGCTGGTGGAAGGACAGAGCTGAAAAAACAAGAGGAAAGGGAAGCAGCCAAGCATCTCCCACTACAGCCACCTGCCCACCTACTAGCAGTTTCCACACAACTTATTTCATACACGCACTCATGTACCCACTGTAGCCCAAAACAAATAAACGACATACAGAGTTTTACACAGACACATGTATCCCGACGTGTGCAGAGTGTTGAAACATGAGCTCATGAAAAGCCTACCTGCAGACATGCATAGAGTCACACCTCAAAACAACCCGCTACTCACCATGATTTCATCCTGAAGCAGAGAAGCCACAGAGAGACGGAGGAAGGGAGGAAACAGAGCAGAAAGAGAGAACACTCAGAAGAAACGTAAAAGCAGGAACACGAAGGAACAAGAGCTGAAGAGATTGAAGAATGTAAAAAGGTAAAAGAAGAAGCTACAGTAAGGGCTGCAAAGTGCGTCTAGAAGCAGAATCATGCAAAATCTGTTCTTGTATCATAAATATGTAGTTAATGTGAAGCATACACTGTATACAGTTACTGTGTTAATAGATTTTTAGCTAAGTGATGCCTTTTTTTTTAATAATGTTTAAAACAAACTTTTGATATTTTCTCAATCATTGCCATCATGATCCGTCACTGTGCTTATTTCTGATGCACTTTGAGATCCAGATGTATTTGTAAAACAATGCTCCCCATGAAAAAGATGAGGATTGTGCAACCTTGGCAGAGATACCGGCTCTCCGATGGCTTTCTATTTGATATTAATATCATGATTGGTGCTGTTAGGGAAGCTTTAAACCACAGGAACTATCATATATCCCCTCGTACGTTGCAGCAGACCTCAGTTTGTTTCTGACGTCACCGAGGCCTTCACCAAAGTTGTTTCATGATCAGACAACTGTTGTCCATTAGCGTGTACAAGAGCCGCACAGGGCTGCATTGTGCAGGATATGGACGCTTGCCCGGGGTTTCAATATACTGTATAGCTGTGCAACATTTAGCATGAGCAAAAACAGAGAGCTGAGTGCTAACAGAAACGAGCCTGAGGGAACAACTGTATGAAGTTCAGATGTCATGTTGCTGGCCAACAGACAAAACACAGTTGGATGGGTTCAATCTGGAGTCCTCATGTTCCTGCAGCTTGAACAGAACGACTCGGTTTTGTTCTACAACCTGTCAAACAGCAACAGTGAACGCCTCGGCATGTTTCTGATCACGGTACCTGATTGCCGGCTGCCTTCTTCTTGTTCATTTGGTTGATCCTCTGCTGAGCGCTGCACGACAAAACACATCAGGAGAGACTTTATTTTGGCCTTAAGCTGCAAATGAACCTCATGAGGCCACGAAACACTGCAGTGATCGGAGATTGATGTAGTCTATGTTCAAATAAAAGAAAAAGAAAAACTCACTTGGCAAATCCAATGAAGTCCTCATGGTTGGTGTTCATGTAGGACAATTCGATATCTATCAAGAGCAGCACCTGAGCAGAGAAGAGACAGAGAGCTGTTACCAATAAACGCTTATATGATTAACATTTATTAATTATATTCATGACTGGAAATGTAAACCTTCCTAAGACAACGATTTGGTTTTATATTTAACATACACGATAAAGTAGCTTTCAAGTAAATCTGTCTGCGCTTTTACTCATTCAATCTGAAATCATTTAATTTCAGTGTTATTGATATCGCTTACATGCTTTTATTTTGTAATTTTTATATTTTATTCTATCTATTTTAATTATTCTATAAATCTGTCTGCACCATACGCAAGTTGTGTCTCGTGTTTTTGATTAATTTGATTTATTAATTTAATTTTGATTACATGTTTTATTTTATTTCATTGGTTTTTTTTGTACTTTGTATTTTTTTTTAAGCACTTTGACTAACCCCTGTCTAACCCCTTGCTCACTTGCTGAAACCTGTTGAGTCACATTTGGTATATAGGTTTATTTATTTTTTAATATTAGTTTTACAATTATTTCTATTTTCTAAAATTAATCTAATTTTAGAATTATATAAACTGTAGAGTTATTTCTGTTTTACTGTATACTTTAACTCTTACCTGCTTTTATTTTGTAATTTTTAGCTGTTTTACTCCATTTTAATTTTTCTATAAATCTGTGTGCACCTTATTCAACCTGTCTGTACTTTTTCTGACTATTTCAATTTCTTCTTTTAATTTCAATTGCATGTTTTATTTTATTTTTTACTTTTGCCTGTAAAGCACTTTGACTAACTTCTGTGTCTTTTTAAATTAAGTTGCCTACTTGCTAAAACCTGTTGAGGCACATTTAATCCTAAATCCGTCTCTGGTTGTTGATTTAACCCCTAAAAATTCATCTCAGTGTATGAAAACTACATATTCAGAGGTTTTCTCATTGAACATAACTCCTCTGAACATAAATCACTGGAACATTAAACATAACATTTGTAGAAATTTAGCAAATTACATCATATGCCCAAGAAACACACCTATTTAAAAGTAATAAAAACATTAACGGGCTTCACTGCTACAACCAAATCGCTCCCTCTTTGTCCTGTTTGTGTGGGTTTTGTGCGATACCTGGTCCTTGGTGCGGTTTTCTCTGTCTCTGATGTGCTGAGTGACGATCCTCTCCATCTCCTCTCTCAGCATGGGATACTGAGCCAGCTGTGAGCGCAGAAAACAGTAGGTAGGTAGTAAAAAACACACACACACACATACACACACACACACACGGCAGCACACATACGCTGTCACACATCAACTCACAAGCTCCACTAAACCACAAAGTTACTCATCTCACCGAACCACAACACACAGTTCCACCAACACAACGAAATACGTTACAGAAACACAATTAAACATGATATGTTTTGAGGGGATCCTTTTTTTTTTTTTTTATCCCAGACTCGGCTCTAGTCCCTGCACACCCGGGGCCAGCGGGTGGATTTGTGTTAGATCGGATTTTTATGCGTCTATTAGTTGCCAATGTGGAAGAAATGCAAAAGAATAGTGCAAAGTCTGTGATATTACCACACAAACACAGAATAAACAATGTTCCTGGCAGAAAAAATGGTTCTTTTCCCAGCACACTGTGGGTCTTTTTCCATGAGCTCATTGCAAACCCACGAACGCAGACATTGGTGGGCCTCCAATGTGACACAAACACATTTGGAGAAGTGTGAGGGAAGAAGAAAAATCTAAAAACCAAAAATCACAGCGCGAGGAAGAAAAATAGATGCTGTTTTTCGTGCAAGTTGCAATGCGTCTGTCGTGTCTGCTGGATGGTTTGCGGAGGGGCTGGGTATCAATCGGCCTCTCATTTGGTTTGCAAGTTGATTTACTGCTTCCTGAGTCTAATTACAGAGCAGAAGACACCCATAAAGAATAGGCAGACGGGTCAGAATGTTCAGATGAATAAAAGCTGACAGCTACTGGCATTAAAGCCTGTATTGTCAGGAAGGAAGTGTTTGGAACGGAGGATGATACGCGTCCAGGGCTGTCACGCCTTTCATTGGTCTGTGGACACTGGATGCACAAATAAATCGGGTCCTACAGCTGACAACAAGTCACTGTTTTAATTAGTGTAAAAACGGGTTTATTTTATTTTATTTCCCCTTTAAAGTTTGTTTTCTGGGGAATTTTCCTTTCCTGAATCGAGTTGTAAAATAAGTCGAGGTACATTTAGGATTTGTGATATTAGGCGATGCTCTCTAAGAACTTCTGGGGATATTTAAGGAACCCTGATCGCTTTGAGGGTTCTTGGAGGAACACTCAACAGCTCAATTCAGAGAAGGAACCTCTAAAAACTCAAAAGCGGTTCCTGGAGGATTCTTTTTTTAGAGTTGGAAGCCTAATTGACACTTTAGAAGTTAGTGTTATTGTGTAAATTAACATGTACACAAGAAAATCAGTTTAATTTAAGATAAAGTAATAACAAGATGTTGTAATTATTTGTTGTCGTCCGATGTAAACAAGTGTTTGAATCACCAACAATCCAAAACATACTAAGAAGTTACTGTAGGTTATAGTTTTTCTGGGTTGAATTATGTATTTTTTTTTAAAACAGTATTAGAGATAATAATAAATGCAAAGTTTAGAAACTGATTTTGAATATTTGAGCAAATTAGGATCTTGTCTGCCAACAGATTTATGAGTAAATGACTCTAAACACTAATTCCAAAGTTCATATTTGCATAAATGTAAAAGAAAAAACTATTTTTCAGGGGGTTTTTTTTTCAGAAGCATCTAAAGTATTGTCCAATACATTTTTTTTTTCTTATGTTTGGGGTAAAACAAATATTGTAATAAAGTTCAAAATGAGTTCAAAATGGAAATCCAAACTCTCCTGCTTCTACGAGCGAATAAATAAAACCGACTTGCCTCGACTTTATCCTGCAGCTGCCAGCATTATCCCTTGCAAACCGCTACGTGATCCGATGAGGAGCATTTTATGGTTTTCATATCAACAGTGGAAAGTATGAAAACCATGTAACTAAAACGATTTCCAAAACAAAACCAATAAAAAAAAGTGTTCCACATCAAAATAACTGGAAGGAACTTGGGAAAACCAGAGAGACGCATTGCAACTCGAAGGCAAACGCGGTCTGTCAACATCTGTGTTTGGTGTCTCTAAAGCAGACACAGAAACACAACGTCATTGAGAGACAGCAAAGGAAAACAATATTAGTTCTTATAAAAAAATGTGTTAAAAAGGCATCAGGCAGAGGCACTCACATTGATTCAGACTGACATGCAATGCAAAGAGGCAGGGAGGGAAGGAAGGAAGGAAGGAAGGAAGGGAAGGATGAGAGACGGGGAGGAAGACTTCAAACTGACCCCTTTGTGGATTTTCCCAAACACTGTATATTATGATACAGTTTCTTTAAATACTGTTTGTCTCTGAAAGTGAAATCGAGATAAAAGTGTGACAGAGAAGAGAAATCCAAAGGAGGTCCTGGAGCTATTCTGTTTTGGTCATTGCGAGGAAGCAGCCCGGTTCAAAGGTTTAGAAGGATGACGGGACGATGGAGAGGAACGAAAGAGAAACAAAAAGAAAAAGAGGAAATAAAAGAAGAGGCTCGGAGTACGTCAGTTAGTCAGTGAGTGGAACTACACAACCAGTCACTCCAGTGTATTAAAGCACACCGACAAAGACAGAAAAATAAGGTTGGAATCAAATCAAATCAAATGATCTTTAGACATCATGAGATCAAATGTGAAAGAAACTTATCGAACATGCAGTTTGCTAAATTGTCAATATAAGGCCAATAATTGACAGACGACAAACGACAACAGAAGTGTCACTAAAATGCAGGTTATATGGTTACATCTGGAGTAAGGACAGACTGATACTTGCTGGATGGAGGTCTTGAAAAAGGCTTTACTGTGAATGTAATCTATCCTAATTCCATTTTAATGTCAGTAAGCATAAATTAATTCATCTCAATAGATAAATCCTGGACAGGGCGATGCTCTTTGACCGTCAGCTGCATGGCTCTATTGTTTGGTCACCACTCTGGTCCAATACTTAACCTCTTATTGTGTTGATATTCATGATTTTTTCTATCCTATGAGACCACCATGAGGATGACGTTTGTCTTTTTGACTAATTCAATATTTACATCTGACTTTAGCTGTTGTCTGGTAATATACTCAGAGAAAAACGATGGTTCTTAAATGGTTCTCCAAAGCGCCATCACCAACTGAAGAACCACCTGCTGCAAACTCCATGTTTACAGTTCAAACATAAAAGTTCTTGAAATCAGTGCATCAGTAGCTGTCACATACATTTAGTCTTTCGTGATTTTTAGCATGGACCCATGGACAAATTTACATTCTTCTTAAATTCGCATTTTAGCACCTTATGTGTCTGTAGAATGAAGTACAGAGGAATGTTAATAAATGAACCTGTTTTCCCACCACACATGATAATTTAACTTAATAGGCTCAAAGACCAGTTTATATTGAAAAATTATTTGAGAACCATTTTAACTTTTTATTTTAAGGACTATCCAGAAAATGGCTCCTCTAAGAACCAAAGTTCTTTGGAGCCTCATTTATGGTCTCTTAAGGAACCATTTTGATGCTTTTTGTTTGTTTGTTTTTTAAAAACTGTTTGCAAAAATGGTTCTTTAAAGAACATCTTCCTAAAAACTATTTTGTAGAACTAAAATGGTTCTTCTGTGGCACTGCAAAGAACCATTTTTGGTTCCAGTTAGCGAGTGCAAGAGGGACATCATGTATACAGCTAAAAGAATCATCATTACATAATACTACAGAATAATAAAATTAAGTACATTTATGGTCAGTAGTTCTTAAGACGCATCTGCTTTCTGAATATTTGCTTATTTTTTAACACTAGCACTGATTTTGGAAGAGTGTACTTAGAAGTTTTCATAAAGTCTCTGAGCTTTGAGGACACTCTAATGTTAACTTCAGCACTTCATTTACTGCAAATCAATAAAACCATGCAGTTCTACATTAACTCAGAGGGAAACATTTTCCTAGTTGTAAAAGAAGAAAATGTATTTAACTGCATATATAAATCTCAAAGTCCCTCTATATAACTTATAGTATATAAATATAGAAGTTGGTCCTTTTAAAACACTGTTTGTTTCTCATTTATCTCCTGCTGTGTTTAACTACATGTCCAGCCATCAGTCTGCCCCTACTTGTGTGTTAGCAGAGATAGTGAGAGTGGTTGGTTCTCTTTGGCATTTTACCTTTTGACTACACTTCTGTATGGTGAAGGTGAGTTCACTCACTACCATATCTATACACTTCAGTGTGGGCTCCTTCAGCTTTTGGATCTGCTTTTTCACTATGGCCTCAAAGGCCAGGTCAGGGGTGAATAGCCCCGTCCTGTAGGGATAGGCAGGCGGCACGAGAGAGAGAGAGAGAGAGAGAGAGAGAGAGAGAGAGAGAGGGAGGAGAAAAATAAACCAGAAAGAAAGAAAAGAAAAAGACAGAGAGAGGAGGGAAGTAAAAGCACCAAAGGAAGAGTTGGAAGAAGTGATAAAGGATCAGGGAAAGTGAGAAAGTGAAGAGGTGAGACAAATCAAGAGCAAAAGGAGTGAGAACAGTTGGTGAGGGAGAAGGACAGATGAGATAGGTAAAAAAAAAAAAGAAAAAAGAAGAAAGAAAAATTGGAGACGGAACAGAAGACACAACAGATTGAAGATGAGAAAGACAAGAAGAGGTGCGGGGGTTGGAAGGATAAACAGCACAGAAGGAAGAAAATGCAAGTGAGACATTTGGTTTCCCCTGAAGCCATTCTGAAACAGGACAGAGCTGGAGTCTCTCTCTATGAACACGGAGCAGAGAGAAAGAGAAGAGAAAGAAGGAGAATAGAGAGAGCTCCCAGCCTGCACATCTCCGCCAGCCAAAAAACTCCAAGCAACGCACCGCGAGACCACAGCTGTGCTCCTCGCCGCTCAGCCAAGACACCCTGAACTCTCCCGGCGTTGACCCTCCCTCCACCCATCCCTCCTCTTCCTCGGACTCCCGGTGGGAGCCACATCACAACATTTATTATCCCAGCGCCTCCATGTTGTTGCAGTCCAACCGCTGTTGAAATTGTTTGGTCACAGCGGATCCATTTGGATAAAGACTACTGCTCTTTCTCTTGGCCCCACTTAGAAGCCTCTTTAGCTGCGAGTGAAGCCCCCGAGGCAGTTCAACTGTGAGGGTCATGGCTCCTGTCGGCTGCAGGTGCACGGCTGCGATCTCACACACACAAGAAAGTCTGGACGCTGAGGTCATTCAATATGGCTGCCAGGTATTCTATAGACACATGGTGTTGGGAGTGTGTGTTTGTTTTAGTGTAGAGGAAAAAGAGGAAAGAGTAGCGAACTTTATTGACGCTATTTCTTAAGTAAAACGAAGTGAAAAATTACTCAAGTGAAAAAAATTAAGCTGATTTATCTCCAATTTAGTAAACTTCTCGATGAAAATTTTTTACTGACTGTGATGTACACTGCCAATCAATTCTGAGCCTCCCATCATGATATTTTATCAAAGCTGCTTCCTTTGAAAAGATCTATTAAAAATAACTCATTTGCAATAAGAAGAATGTATAAAAAACAAAAAATTCTACACTTCTTACCACAACTACGAAGCTACGTCTGTCTCAGCTGTCACTAACAGTCACGTGTCAAAAATTGAGTAAACTTTTCAGGGTTGAACTGCAGGTTGTGTTTACACAGAGCAGCGAGGAGATGGAAGCAAGTATGGAAGCAGTTTTAAAGGAAAGTAGTAAAACATCTATACTATGTAGAGCCACCATTTTAATTTTCTAGCATTAGTAACACCTGTGTGCACTTAGAAAAATGTTGTACATGTTGATTTCAAGTTTTTAAATTTTTGAAAATGAATAATCCTACAAATTAATTTTTTTATTTGTACTGATTTATGGAATTATAAATTCATCATACTAATATAACACTACTACTGAGGCATCTTTGAGTTCTCTCGACTTCTATAAATGGATGTACTCTTTCAATAGAGGTGCAGGACTTTACACTGCAATAAAAACTTTTGTAAAATGTTGCCGAAACTGTTCGGGGTCCAGAGGGTTAAAACACTGTGGTATGGAACTGGGACACGGCTCAAAATGATCCTCCTGAGTGTGCACAACTGAAGCTTTTTTTGGCAGCACTCCGTGTACAGTACTTCCTCAAAATTTCGCTTACAGTAAGTCACAACAGAAATGTTTATTTTAAAATTAACTCGAGTCACAAGCTCGCGTCCTGAGCGTCTGACGAAAGCTCTGACGTGTTATCTCTCGCAGGCAACCATATTCCGATGACCGCTCAGCTTCCACACCGGTTTTTCTTCTGCACAACTATCAACCACAGCCAGCCTGTCCAGCCAAACCCGTCCGAAAGCGGCACAGTAGTCAGGCAGGCAGGCAGGCAGGTAAACCGCAGCCCACTCCAGGCGTCCCCCTCGCTGTTGTTGGACAGCGAGGGCTGGAGGGAGCCGGGTGGTTACAGCAAAAAGGAGGGACAGTGAACAGCAGAGGGACTTTGTGGATGGAAGGGTTGAAAGCAAAAAAAAAAAAGTGCTATCCGCTGTTTGCTTATTTGTTATTTTACCTTCTTGGTACACTGCCTAACCGTATTGACTAGCTCAGAAATGACCATGTCCACACATTTGGTGCACGGCTCTTTAATCTTCCCAATCTGCCTTTTCACAATGGTCTCAAAGGCCATGTCCGGGGTGAAGAGGCCAGTTCTGCCCGACACAGAGAGAACCAGCCACAGGGCCGAAAAGACGAGAGGGGTGGTGGAGAAAAAAGAAAGAAAGAAAGAAAGAAAGGAAGGAAGGAGGGAGGAGGGTTGGGTAGAGAGAAGAGTGTTAATTGTAACGATTTACCCTCCAGTTCTGAGCTTTTCCCCCCAAACATAAACAAACATAAATTTGACAGAGAGAGGGGAAAAAGGGGGGGATGGAGATTAAAAACAGTTGGAAGTTATGTTCCACAGCAGATATCCAGCCGTTTCCACTAAACTGCTGGTTAGAGTTAGTGTGTTATTGCAGAGCGGTTGGTGCATCTGATTGGGGACAATTCAATGGAGAAAAGATCCAGATTAGAAGAGATTTAACAGGTTGAGAGCCACCTTTTCGAAATCAGTGCACAAAAAACAGGATATTAAAAAGCTTAAACCTAATGGCGGTCGGCCTAATCTCTATAAGCACCCATCAGCAGGTCTTATTTCTGTTTGATTAAAAAAATAGGTGCTAATGAGGAAGTATCACGGCAAATATGGATTTTCACAGCACTTGAGGTGACACTGGCAATACCCAATTATCACCAAAACATCCTGGAAATCATCTACTTGGCGTTTTAGAAAACAGAACAAACTGCTATTAGTCCTAGAAAGTAGGTAGAAACTAAAAATAATCTGTCCTCCATGGAAATAAATTAGCAATTAGTCAAAATTTGCTTGCTTTAGACAAACTGAAAGCTAAATATAAACCTTTTTTTCCTGATATTGTAGCCTCATTGGACGCTACAGTGCTTATGTACACATCATCCATATGCAAACAGGAAGCGAGAACAAGGACAAAGTGAGCGACCACACATCCCAGATTAAAGATGCAGGATTCCTCCAACCACACATGATGGCAGACAAACAGGCCTCGCACCAGCAGGGACGTACGAACAAACACGGAAAAGCTAGAATCCACTGTAGCCGATCTCCTGCGTTTAAGCGTATTTTTCGATATCAGTATGCACTCGGTGTGGTGGTTTCGGATTAGAGAGGCAGCCGGAGCAGCAGTGAGACAAAGAGATGGAGGGAGGTGAAGCAGAGAAGGAGGGGAGGAAGGACGGAGGGGTGAGTCGGAGGGCGGACGTGCCTGATGCCGTGGATGTTCTTGATGGCGTAGCTGATTTCCTTGCGGAGTTCTTTCTCATCGAACTCCATCTGAAAAACAGACAAAGAGAAGATGCCGGTTAAACGCGCATACTGCACACTTATATAACCTCGTCTACTGTTCCTGCACCATCTGTTTTTAATATGTTTGTCCAAGTATCTCCCCTTTATTTACTGCAATGCCACATTCTTCCCTAGTTTCTTAATATTTTCTCCGAAGCGTGCACTATAAACATATAAAACACTGTGATGAATTGACCTCTAATGTGTCTGGCAGACACTGAGGCGTTCTGTGCTTTCAGTCAATCTTCTGGTTAGGAAGCAACCTGCTCCGTCCGCTCGGTGGGAAACCAACGGGGCATTTTTCTGCGGCCTCGGTCACAGACAGTAAGTTTTATGTCCTCAGAGGGAGGGCAAGAGAGGACAGGGGAGAGGACTGGATGAAAACGGGGGGCAAGAGAGGAAGGACGAGGAGGGTAATGGCTGATTGAGGGAGAAAGCGACGAAGGCCTCGGACGTGGAAGAAGAAGAAGAAGAGGAGGAGGAGGGGGATGAGGTAAAAGGCTTAGAGAGGCAGAGGTCGGGGAAAGTGGATGAGGGGAGGACAGGCTCGGGATAAAGATGATGTGAACGGTGGACGGAGAGGACGCGAGGGGGAGGGATGAATTGTGGATGACAGGATGAGAGTGGAAGGTGAGGAGGAGGGGGGGAGTCGGAGGGAAGAGGTGATGACGGGAGAGGTAGCTGTGAAGCTGAAGGTGAGGAATGTTTGAGGGAGGAAGCTCAAGGTTTCCTTGAGGTAAGTGAGGAAAATAACAGGACAGAGATGCTTGTCTTAAAGCAAGATATTCTGTAGAACATTTTTATTTCTTCTAATTGTTTTACACGTCACAATACGGAAATGTATTTTCTAATTACTCCTGTTCTAATTAGTCTGTTCCTCATTTCCAAACACTTTTTCTCTTCTCACATATTTATTTACTGTAGGTCCATTAATGACTGCTTTATTGTAAAATGAAATGGTCAAAAATTTATATCATCCATTATCTATACACCGCTTAATCCTCACTAGGGTCATGGGGGGCTGGAGTCTATTCCAGCTGACTCAGGGTGAAGGCAGGGGAACCTGGACAGGT